TTCACTCAGGTCTCCAACTCTAAAGTAGCTCCCTAAAGGATTCAGAAATTCTATTAATTTGCTGATTATTCTAAAATATAAGATTCAAATTCCCACAACTATCGTAACTAGTATATAAATGATAAATAATTTGTATTTGTATTTGTATTTATTTGTTTGTTTCAAACATGCATATACAGACAAAATGTTTAAGTTCACATGAATTCCGGAGGAATTGTTTGAAAAGTACAATAGTAACAGTACTGTACTAAGGTTCTCGCGATTTAATTTACCATTTTGCTCCCGGACACTTGAAAGAAAGACCTCTCCACCATTTTTGTCCCAAAGACGTGGCTCTCCGGGTTTGGAGGCCCTGTAGATTCATGTGGGTGAAATGTCTTGCCTAAGGACACACAAACAGTTTTTCTACAGTTCCACTACTGACAGCTGGTTTCCCATCACATTACTAACCAGAGCCTGACCTGCTTAGCTTGGAATCTGAGATCATGTCTTTGAAAAACAGTAACAAAGGGTATAGTTCTCCTTCCAGATTGAGATGTCATGTTGAATATTAAGATAAGAGAACCTTTATTCGTCCCGCGGTGGGGAAATGCTGAATGAACCATAAATATCAGTCTAATAATTAGATTAAACATGTCTCCGTCGAACTCCAAGTGTGTGGAGATCTGTAGCTCTGTGGTTGCACCTGCAAGTGAAAGCCAGATCCTGTCTCACCTCTGAAGCTAAGCAAAGTAGGACCTGGTTAATGTTGTGATGGGAGACCTCTGGGAACACCAGGTGCCACAGTGGGGTGGCAAGACACTTCACCCACATTGCCTTGAAAGAGTCTGGTGTGAGTGGTTGGTGGTGGTCAGAGGGGCAGATTGGAAAACTCTTCGGAGGCATACAGGTTTGGCTTCTGTCAGTGTGCCCCAGGGCAGCTGTGGCTACAGTAGTAGTTTATCACCATTGTGTTTGGAGTGAAAGAATAATGACATGTGATGTGTCTTAAAACCACTGAATTATTGTTACCTGCAGGTTAGAAACTTTATACATGGAATGAATGAAGTGAACTAAACTCAACCCCACACAAAACAATTATAAACGCAAGTTTGAGCTTCAAAATAAATATATCAACTCAGCATTAGGATTTCTCATGAGAATCACGTGCAGTGAGAATAGATCTTTATCTCGGGTGATGCACACTGTGACCACTGGAGGGCAGCAAAGGATGATTTAAAACATGGTCCAATGAAACCTCAGCAGTGACAGAATGTACCAGATGTTCTCCCCGGGTTTAAGGACAGTGTTTTATGTTTGAAATGATATCACCTCTGCAAGACTTGGAGATTTTATAATAATAACAAGAATAGAAGAACTGTGCGAGATGGTTCCAGTCCTGCACAGTGAACCAGGGACTGTCGATAAGACGATGTTTAGAAAATCAAAATCCAAAATGTGCTGTTCAGGGAGATGACCTCAATTCAATTCAATTAAATTCATATTTTTATCATGGTCCTAAATTGTTTACCTAAATCACAACCGCAGTTGCCTCGGTGGACTTCACAAAGTTGTCAATTCCTCAACAACAGAGGTTGTTGAGGAATTGAGAGCGAGAGAGCGAGACGACCTGTGCCCATAAAGTGTTAACAAAAATCCCGGATCATCGCTGTCCTTAGACCCTCCTGCATCTGTAAGGAACCACTCAAAAGAATAAAAACAGAAAACGGTGGGGAAAAAGTGATAACCATTGGGTAGGCTCAAAACGAGACAGAGATAGATCCAGAACTCAGGCTGTACAACGAGGACTGAGGCTGCGCAGTCTCAGAGGTTTTGTAATATTCAGACAATATGTAAAGAAGTCACTGGACCTATTAACATTTTATATTGTGTTTTGCTGTAACCAACCCACACCCTGCTTCTCCCAGTCCCCTGTAAATAATATTTATCTATACAGCGCCTTTTTAGCGTTTTTTGTTGTTTTGAGGGCATTTGTGTCTCCCTCCACACAGATATGGGAGCGAGATCGTCAGTACAGGACCTATCGTACATGTTTTAGTGGTAGGGGAAACCGAAGCACCTGGAGGAAACCTACGCAGACACGGGAAGATCATGCAAAACCAGCACAGAAAGGCCTAGAGGTGGAATCGAACCCAGGAACTTCTTGCTGTGAACTAAACCGTGTCGCCCTAAAACATATATTGTTGATATTCTAAATCGTATATAGTACTGTATATTCTTTCTTTTCTTGTATACTTGGCATTCCCTGATAAACAAACTAGCTTAACCAGGCCTATATAAATATAAAAGCAAATGCAAACTGTATTCTTACATGTCTGAAAGTTATTGATATTTTAACTTTTCGACCTTTTTATTTTGTTGTTCGTGGTGGCATAACGGCCATCTTTCTATAACATTTACAATCACCCGCCTAATCAACATCACTCCAATTCTGTGGTATACGTAACCTTGACTACAAACATCTATCTAACTATATGATTAGGATTAACAGGTACTTGATTTGTTCCAAAGTGGGGAAATGTCAGTGTTGTAGTGTTGTAGTGTTGTGACTAAAGTGTGTAACTCTGTCCTTGCTCTCCAAAAGGCTTGGCTCTACACTAGTTTTCACATGAATGCATTTTTTTGGCCACAGTCACATCTTTAAATAAGCTTTTTCAGACCAAAAAGTGAAAAAGAGAGGACCCACCTTTCTCAGCCAATCAGATCTCTGCACAAAGCACCAGCGGCAAAAGCTACAATGTTTTTTTTCTGATAAGAGGGAGACAGCAGGTTGCGGTCTGATTTGTTCTTAACATTACAACGTTCTCTATCAGGACAAACAAAATGTATTATTGGCAAAAAAATAAGTGAAAAGTTGAATATGTTATTTTTATTTTTATAGCGCATTTTTACAGACCAAGCACCATACAATAGTCAGATATATATTGTGCATGTTTTGGTGTTAGGGGAACCAAAGGAAACCTACACAGACACAGGGAGAACACGCAAACTCCACTCAGAAACGCCTTGTTGTGACCGGGATTCGAACCCAGAACCTTGCTGAGTAGCGAGAGCCCTGTCCACTCAGCCACCGTGTACGATTTGTGATCAAGATAGCGATTTTTCATATTCTCTGGTCTGTGAAAGGCACTGCATGAATAAAGATCACTCAGTTACTATTGTTTCAGACTCAAATCTACATCTTTAAAAGACAGAGATGCAAAAGAGGAAATACAATACATCAGCAGACTGTACAATGAGAACTGCTGATCCTGTAAATGCATATACTATAAATATATATATATTTTTAAAGACATACCAGTCTTAAAAAAATATTATTTATAGTATGAAGCATTTACAGCATTTACAGCTAGCTAAGAAAATAGCTACTACTTATTTAGTATATTTTGTGTGCTGCCTGTGTGCTCTTACTGTCCTGTCTGTGCGCTGCAACATTGAAATTTCCCCACTGTGGGACGAATAAAGGAACTCTTATCTTTTCTAAGCAGATGTTTTAATGCAGTCGAGCAGAAGTGTGGTAACTTGAGCACTATCCTCTCCTCCTTCCTACTTTATCTGTTTAGCATTATTAGGATTTTGACTGTTCATTGCTATTCACCCATTGTCCCGTTGTCTGTTTCATGGCGCAACAACGAGACCTCTGAACCGCCCCCCTCCATCTACACCTGTGGACTGCCCTGCCCTGACTCCCGCCTGGGAGCACTTCAGTCCTGCACCGGACCTGTCCACGCTCTGCTGCCGCTGCGTGGCCCTGGTCCTCGTTCTGTAGCTTAGGTCCTGGATCTATAGCCTGTCCGTCCGTGTATAGGAGCGGATCCTTTTCTCAATATGTGGGTCTCCCCGAGGTTTCTCACTTTTTTCCCACTGGGTTTTTGTGAGTTTTTCCTTGCCGATGCAGGAGGGTCTGTTGGGAAGTTAGTGTCCAACTAGAAGGACGATGATCCAGGACACTTTAACATTCTACAACATGTATGGACATTTTTCAACATGTGTTCTATATTCTTTATGTGTCTTAACAGTTGATTCTCTGATCTGTGTTGGTGATTTCAATGGTTTTGTTAAGTCCTCTGAGATGACTTCTGTTGTGATTTAGGGCTATAAGAATAAGTTGTTGTTGCGATATGTGCACATTTTACAGTATAGATCGGGGTCTGAATGATATTGTTTTCGTTATAAATATTTAAACGCATATATTTCTAATGGATTATACCTGTAGTTCATTAATGTTCATCCATTCACGCAGACAACCACTAGAGGGCAGACCATACAAGCCAAAACCTGCAAAGACTGTGAAGAGTGCAGACTGTTTACGGTCTATGGTGCGAAGAGAAGCAGAAGGCCTGGAACGGACTCCAGCGCGTCATTAAAAGGCGAATAAGAAGAAGAAGAATACAACAATTTACGTTTAATTTCTCCTCGTTTATGTGAAGAGAAGCGGGTTGAAAAATCACTGTTGTAGCCAATACACGGGTGGTCATTTTGTGTTTATTAAGGCCTTGGATGAAGTGAAATGTGTGGAATACAATAACAGGCCTATACATTAATAAATAATAGTGGACAAATTAAATATTAAGAACATCTTTATTTGGCATTCTCTCTTCATGCAGACTAGAACATGCATTCAGCAAGTTACAGAATATGACATTTACATACACGTGTGCTCAGTACTATTACTATTTCAAGTTTAAAGTGAACACTGTTTAAGGGGCCAAAAAATAAAAGTCAAAATGTAAACAGAACATGAAGTGTTTCCATTTCAGCAGCACATTCTGTTGAAGGATCCATCAGCTTCTGTTGATCCTGTTGTCTGAGGGTTTGACGACGTCAAACAGAGAGGTCAAACGGAACCAAAACAGTTCAATTATCGTTTCTGTTTGTAAATCCACCTTGTGCCTAAATGTGTGCAGTGTTTCAGACTTTACTCTGATCTTAGTTTGGCCTCGCTGTCTCTACGGTCTGTAGTTAAAGCGGCTCTCGGTGGAGTTGAGGATGACGTCAGTTCAGGTGGAGGAGTTGAGTCCGCGGGAGTCCGCAGAGTCGGAGCGCTCCTCATACTCGTGCTCGGGTTCCGGGGAGTACAGCGCTTTTGGCCCCAGGAGCCCCGTGTCCTCCTGCAGGCCGAGGCGCTGCTCCTCCGCACGGGACGAGCTGAGCAGCGGGGACCCTCTGAACACGTGACCCATGGGAGCTCCCGGGGCCGCGGAGAACGGGGACACGTAGTGAGCCGCAGAGCGGAGCTGGTAGTGCTGCTGCAGCGCCACCGTGTTCCACAGAGTGACGTCATTGTGCACGAACGGCCCGCTCTGAGAGCGCGTGAGCGAGTTACGGAGCATGAGCGGGTAACGTGAGGGCTGCGGGAAGGACGGGTGCTGCAGCGGGACGCCTAACGGTCCCGCGGACACACGCCCCGGGCCCGGCTCCGAGAGGCGCAGGGAGTCTGGCACGCGGAAGGCTGAGCCCACAGACCACTTGGAGCTGGAGACCGGGTACGAGGCCAGCTGCTCCAGCGCGTGTCCGTTTGAAGGCAGCACGAGCCCCTCTGACGCGTCTGCGTGAGTGCCAGAGTCCGGGCCGCGGCTCGACAGCAGCACCTCGATGGCCCCCACCAGGTCCCCCCCGCAGCCCCGCAGGATCAGCTCCAGCACTGCGGGCTTGTGCGCGGGGAACACCTTCTGTAGAACGTCCAAAGGAGGCCTGTGCGCGCGCACGCCGAGCGGGAGCGCCTCCAGGAGCGCGCTCTGCTCAGGCGCGCTCACGTGACCTTTGGCCTCTCTATCCGCGGGCTTCTCCTTGTGCGGCTCCGGGTCTGGAGGCTCCGGGCTGAAGCACGTCAGGGGTTTGGATCCCGCGGAGTCTGGAGAGCTGAGCTCCGGCTCCTGCTCCTTATCACTGCCGCCGAGCTCTGCGCCCGAAGCCCCAGAGTCATCCGCGTCCTCCGCGTCTGCAACACAAGCACGCACGTTTATGCATGGTTACATCACAAGCACGCGCACTGTCATAGCACAAGCACGCGCATATACGCACTGTCACAACACGCACGATGGCAGTGACAGCCTCCTGCATGTGAGACACAGTTACAGAGAAATAATGGTCTCAGATTAATTGAAATAATGAAGACAAACGAAAAGCTCCAGTTCCTCACAGTTCTGTGTGAGCTGCAGAAGGAGAAAGCGCCTCCTCTAAAGTGAACTCTCTCTGAGTCTCGGAGCCTCGTTTGTCTCGCTGCTGTCAGACTTAACACTTGTTTAGCTCCACAGCAGTTTCCAAAGCGCTGAGTGCGTCAGGAGTCAGGACTATGGACCACAGTCAGGACTGATGTGCGCGTGCCTTCTGACCACTGCGCGCAAACAAACAGCTTCTTGCTTCGTAACATTTCATCCAGATCTGACCTCATGGTGAAACATGGCGATGACTTTCGATCGTTGCTGTCCGCCGCTGATTACGGTCATCCTTTACCGGGGCCCCGGGCCCGGGGTCAGCGCTTTCAAGTGTTTTCAGAGAGAGCTAACGAAGAGGAAACGTGTCTCAAGGAAATATCTACAGAGCAAAGATTATTGATGTCTCTTGACTCTTGGGATTGTTAAATTGAGCTCGTCCAGGCCCTTACGCCCGTGTGTCACATGCACAGTGCACTGGAGCCTGCGGACATTAGACCTGATCCAGGATCAACTGATCCAGGAGCAGTTTGGGTTCATTAAAGTGAGAGCAGCAGGAGACCTCAGCCCCGCTGCGCATTCAACTCTGGGACAAAACCATTGACCTGAACTTCTATGAACAGAGCTGAGAGGAAATGCATTAGTAAAGAGCCTATGGGCACAAACACCGCAAAAGTCTTTTTTTGATCATATTGAACATGTTTTATTGAAGCCTTGAAGTATTTTCTTAATGATTTAGATCGAAGCGTTAATTTGCAAAGAAATTGTTATAAAACAAGTTTGCAAAGTGCTGCACATGTGTAAAAAGACACACATTTAAATATACAGGTGTACCAGCAGTATGAAAAATTGAATAAATAAAACAAAAATTGGCCAAAAGTTGTATTCCTCCTATATGTTTTGTTTTGTAAATTTGAAAAAAAAAAATTGCTCAAGCAGGGGCGGAACTTTGTATAAACGGTTGATTATTTATGTGGCATTAAATCCGATTTTACCAAAAAAGTTCTTGGGCAAATGTAAACCTTAAATATTATTCTAATGACACTCATCTGTTCCTCTCAATCACCTCTCAATCACAATTAACTTAATAATTGCAAGTAATGCAAGAATAACCAATTGTTTTCTCACGCACGCGCGCTGTTTTCCTCCTTAATTAATTAGACGATATTAATTGAAATTGAGTTGTGTTCGATTATTGTGGAATTTTGGACAAACACGTTGTAGTGACTTTTTAAGCTTTAAGACAGGCCTTTATGGTAAAAACCATAAACACGAATACTCTACATCCGTTTGAGTGTCAAGTGCAATACATGAAGACATGATGAAACAAGCGCGCCTACAAATACACGCTCACACACACATACACACACACACACACACACACACACACACACACACACACACAAACACACACAAGCTCTGACCTGCAAAGTTGGCCGCGCTGTGGCTGCGCTCTGGTCCGCTCCACCTCAGCTCCATGTCCCCTGTCCTGCTGGGGGCTCCGGGCCCGGGGGAAGCCTCACTGATGGCCGGCAGGACCCGCAGAGACTCCGGGATGAGGCTCTCCAGACTCTCGTTGGCCTGCTGCCTGCGCAGAGCCACCTGCGCCGCCATGACGCGCTGCCTCTCGATGATGAGGATGCACTTCTCACAGGTGCAGTCTTTGAAGCGGCAGTAGCGCTTGTGACCTTTGAGCCACGACAGGACCCCGTGGTTCCTGCAGCGCGCGCACTTGGGCGTCCTCTGGAGCGGGGCCCGCGGCTGGGACACCGGGGTGCCCATGTAGAGGTACGGAGCACCGTATCCGTTCATGACGCAGACAGAATGTAGCACAGAGAGAGGAGAAGTGTTATCCCCTTCCTCTTTACGCACGGACGCACGAGCACAGCAGTGCGCGTGCAGGACCCACCTCTCACGTGGGTGGACACGCACCGACAGTCAGTAACTCGAGCTGAGAGACAAGAGGCTCACAAACTCAGAGATCTCCTGTCTGACTTCAGCTTTGACACAAACATCACCTTAAAGGTGCAAAAGGAAATACAGAAGAATGTTTCAATTAGACACTGTTATTAAGTCAAGTTCAGATATACGAAGAAATTTCCCCATTTTCCCACAATAGGGAAATTTCAGTTTGATGCACATACACATACACACATATACCTTTACATAAGCTAAACTGACCTTTACTGTGCGGATAATAACCTCATGTTATGTTTAAATAAAACAAAACAATGTCATAATGTTTCCATTTTAATGTAACGTAATTTCATTCATTTTAATGAATTCTCAGACTTTCAGAGACGTACATATAACACACACAGCTTCCATCCGCATGTTTGGTTGTGAAAACAACTAAATATGATAAGTATTAAATACAAGGCCTGCACATTAGTGCAGTGTGTGCACCAGATAAAACGCGTGGGTAAAAGCCAGTGCGTCAGAGCCCTGTCCCGTGCTGGACTAATGTCCCTGTGCTGGACTAATAGAGGGCATTGAAACATAACACCGGACAAAGCCAGGGCCCATTTCGAGCCGTAAAAAGGTTTATTCAAGCAAATAATAGGATCTGCGCCGAGAATGAGAGCGCGGTAAAGTTGCCCGCATGCATGCAGCCCGTCTCCGGGGCTATTAAGCTTTTAATTGGAAAATAGCAGAGGAAATTTCAAGGTGACTAGAGTGGCTTTGCAGTTTGTGCCGGGCCAGTAAATTTGTGGGAGTGTACACGCCTTCTCCACAGCGCATTATAAATTTATTCATGTTGTTCGTCGCTGAGAATAAAAACAAACCAGAATAAAAGTTATACTGCGTTGTGCACAGTACTTGACATTCACCGCATGCGTTTTCAATCTCTCCACATCTCACCCTGACTCTAAGCGCGCGCGGAGGCCATAAAACCCACAGATTGATATAAACGAGTCGTAAATAGTATCTCTCCTTTTTTACAAAGACCTAAGATGAACTCATAACACTCCAGGAGCCTCCCTTTTGAGATCTGAGGCCAGTGCATTAAACCCGAGCTCAAGTTTTCTTCATTAAAGGGGCACTTCTGTAACTCCGCTTGGCCTCATCACAATCAAATCCCATGCGGCTTGAGTTTAGTCTTCGGTATCAACTGGAAGTCCACGTGATGAGACGGGAATAAGATGTGTGTTTAACCACGGGGAGCGGAGGCCTTGAGAGCCGCGGAGGTCTCTGGGGGATGATTAGGTGGTGATGGGGGGCGTCACTGTCGCTCTATGCCGCTGTCAGTCTGCTGATTTAGGGCTTCCCTGGGACACTCCGCACGTATATCTCCTGCTGCGATATTAGCCTCACCGCATCTCTGCTCATGGGACCTGCACTATAGACCGCCTGCCACTCAGGATAAATTCATATATGATCCAGAACCAATGATGCTTTTGTGGCACGGCGAGTTAATTAAACGTGTGCACTTTATTACTATTGATAGTAACTTTTAGAATTGTGTATTTCATATCTTTAGTATGGATAATGTGATACTGCTGCTATACACCTGAATTCAATGGAATCATTAAAGTCTGTATAGTATCATCTGTCTCTATCTTGTCATAATATTGTATAAAGACGTGAGAAAGAGCATAGGCCGAATTGGTTTTTAATTGCCAAATATTTCATAATGTAGCATACTATATCTTGTGTTTATATATTTGTATATATTTGTGTTTTTTTATGCCCTGTATGCAGCACAAATGAATTGCCTCATGGTGGGATATAAGTACAGCAGTCTGAATCTGCAGATATATCACTTAAAGACAACTTTCACTACTATAGCTTGACCCAAAATCTTAACATCTTAAAATAATTTCCTTTTTAAGAATAATTTGAGCAAGTAACGGTACTACAGAAATGATAAGAATTTCTTGAGCATGTATATCAGAAAAACCTAAAACCTTGTGGTCCATAAACATTATTATTTTGGTTCATTTCAAGTAGAGTTGAGTAAAAGTAAATAAGTGCGAGTTTTTATTGTACTTAGAGTAACAGTACTTACAGTGGAGTAAATGAAAGCAGATCTTGTCAAACCTAGAGCAGGATGGGAGACCTCTGGGAAGGTTGAGGATGTGTTTTTGTGTCTTTAGGCAAGACACTTCACCCACATTGCCTAAAATGAGTCTGGTGTGTGTGAATGGTTGGTGGTGGTCGGAGGGGCTGATGGTGCATGCTGGTTGCCTCACGTCTGTCAGTGTGCCCCGGGGCAGCTGCGGCTACACTAGTCTATCACCACCGTGTATGGAGTGAGAGAATATTGCATGTGAAGCGTCTTTGAGTGTCCAAAAATGCACTCTATAAAACGGATGGGTTATTTTTTTGTTATGATTAAAAATACTTGCACCTCTGGACATTACGTACTGTCTTTTCAAAAAAATCAGACACCCCAACTTCAACACTTCTGTACGAGAAAAAGGGAAAGTGACCTAGAATAGAAAGTGAAGCTATATTTTCAAAAACCCCAGCTTTAGATTCTTTTGCAGATAAACTTTAAAAGATCCTTTATTTGTTCCACAGTGGGGAAATTTCAGTGTTGCATCACAAGTTACAGAACAGAAGAAAGGAGGAGCACAAAGCACAAGATAAGCAAACAATAACTCCATACTAAAATACAATAAAATCTCTAACTTTAGCATAACAAAGCACTATTGAACCTGCAGCTAGACTCAACGATACAGTTATGTAAGCAATGACGTCACTTAATTAGCCTCAGACAGCACTAATTGAGCATGCGCAGTTTTAATTACTCAAACACACACCGCTAATATACAGTAACGTGAACTATTACGGGACGTCTGGGTAATATATGAAGGGGTGACATTTTTGTGCAACGAGAAAGAGACCCGGACAACCGTGACCGTATGGCTCTCTCTTCTCTTCTTCTTCTTCAAACTAAACCGCGCACTAAAACTTAATCTCCCGCGGAATCCAATTAAGCCATTATCTGACTGATTGTATCTTTAATTGAAAACAGAAGTGACAGTAAATTCGGGTGATATATCAAGATCAATCAATACCTCCGCGCTGCAAGCCAGTCTCCAGGAGAAGATTTATAATGTCAACGCCGTATAGGTAACTCCACATTCCTCTCTCTAAAAACCAGTGGTGGATGAAATTAAGAGTAAGTGCGTTTCATAAAGAAGAAAAAAAAAAAACAAGGAAAAAAAAAACAAGACGGCCGTGTTATTGATTGCGACAGACGGGGCCCGAATCCAATGAATGTTTGCAGAGCGCGGCGCGGAAGAAAATACAAGTAATTTTCTCAGGGACTGCTTTATGCACTTGTTCCCAAAAGCAGAACACGAGCACATTTACACTCCATCACCGAGAGTTGGAACGGTGCAGGGACTTTGTAGCTGTATTATATTCAACAGCACACACAAAGCAACTGCAATGAGAGAAGTTTAGGGAGTGTATAGGGAGGTCAAGAGAGCTGGGATAACTGTGTTTTTGCTTTAATCTGGAGGAGGTAACTATAAAAATAAAAATAAGTAACGTGTTTAGACCACAGCGTTCTGACTCCATGTTATCTTAGAGCAGGCATGGCCAAACTCAGGCCCGTGAGCCAATTGCGGCCCTCTGTGTCATGTTGTGTGGCCCTCTGTTGCTAACACAAACCAAGTTAACCGTGACATCCAAATATATCTCATTGTGAAGCTCAGGATCTCTCGAATCCAGCTGTTGACTTTATGTGACTTCTTACATTTGTTTTGTATGACGCTAATGTAGATGGGTGAGAAAATATTTGTCCTTCTTCAGCTCTGTCTAATATGAACCTATTAGTCATACCTCACTTTAAAGCCTGAATCCAGTCAGTGTGTTTTGTCAGCCCCTGGACAATTTTGCGGAACTAAAAATTGTTTTGGTGAACTAAAATGGCCTTCTTACTAAAATATTTGGACACCCCTGTCTTAGATGAATCATAATAAACATATCTGTCTCTGAGCCTAATGTTGCTACTGTCCCCTTTCAAATAAAAGCTAAATTTAACAAAACACAATTTCAAAAATTTGTGACCACAAAAAATGTTCTTTCAGTGTAAGCCCTCTGAGTTGCAGTACAGGCCTATTGCAGATTCAGTTTATTATTAGTAAAACCACATTGGAATACATGTGCAAAAACCCCCCAGTAATATTAAGAGATCCTTTACTCGTCCCACTGTGGGGAAATTTCAGTGTTGCATCGTCAGTTACAGAACAGTATAGGCATGAGGAGCACACAGCACAAGATAAATGAACAATAACTCTATATATACGTGAATAAAATCAATCTTTAGCATAATAAAGACACTGGTATCTTGTTAACATTTGCATATTAAGAAATCCCTGTGAGTCACTATTTGAGACTTTAGGCTGAGTGCTGTACCTGGTTTCATTTAAACACATGTACAAAGCTATTTTTTGTTTGTAAATGTTGTTATTTTAAAAAGAAAAAGCCCCAAACAGTTAGATTTATCAACCTGGCAACCCAAATGAGACACTGACTCTGCTCTCTGATTGGATTATCTGCTTGAAAATTGTAAATATTTGTAATCAAGAATAACTCCAAGGCCAAATATGAGCTGTCCACGTGACTGTGATCTGGAGACACATATAATTGCCCCACACACATACACACAAAATAACACAAAATATAACACTCTGTCCCTTTAAGCACAGTCAAAAGTCTAAAGCACTAACTCACTTGTGCAATGTCTTAGATCAGGGCCGTTGGTTGGGCCCAAATTCAAAAACGTAGGAGATGGTTGGGGCCAAAAGTATAAAAGTGGGTTTCTTTTTTTGTCCTTTCCTCATTTCTTTTTACAT